GTGCTCCAGCTGGTCCACGTGTGGAAGCCTCATCTCCCCCTCCTCTGGCTGGCAGACCCTGGCTCCTGCTGCCCTCCGGCCCAGCGCTGCCCTCAGGAAAGGCGGCGCTCTGGGCCTGGCCCTTGTCACACTGGCTGGGCTTGCTGTCTACATGTCCTCTTCTTTCTTGCAGCAGCAAGGTCCTCACGAGCAGGAACCCAAATGGAGTCATCCTAATCACATGGACCCTGAGAGCATGTACTTCGAGGCACAATAAGAACAGTCAGGAATTTCAGTGGCTGGAATGTACTCTAACCCTGACCCCTAAGAACCAAAACTATGCTTCTTATTAAAAAACAAAACAAAGAATTCCTATCTCAGGATCAGTTCAGGGAAATAAAGATCTCTGAGATCAGGCAGGCTGGACTCAAATGCTTGTCCTTACTAGACATGTGCACCTGGACAAGTCACCTCCCTTGCGCTTAGGACAGGGTCTCAGCTTGCCATGGCCAATCAAGCCCTGTGTGTCGTGCCCCTTTCAATCCCTTGAGTCACTGGCCTTTCCTGAGTGCGCCACGCTCCTGTGGGTCTCAGGGCCTGTGTGCTTGCTGTTCCTGCTGCCCGAATGGTCCTGCTCCCCTTCGCCTGGTGACTCACCCTACTGACTGGGCAAGCCTCCCCTGGCTGCCCCTGGGCGAAGTCAGGTCTGCCTGGTTACACGCTTCGCTGCCACTCTGGACCTTTGCAGGTTGAAATTATTTGTCTCATTTCTTCTTACAATTAATAAGCACTTGATACCAGGTTCTACTTCAGAGATTCTGAAAATGGGTGATTTCATTTCATTCTCATGGTGCCCGCATAAAGTATGGTAAGCACCCCACTTTGTGGAAGGGGAGGCTGAAGTTCAGAGAAATTAAACAACTTGCCTGAGGTTGCACAGCGATTGAGTGTCAGAGCTCCCCTCCTAAGCCTGTCCTCGCAGGTTGACTCTGAGCTATGTGAGGGTGGATGCACATCGGGTCGTTGTTTTATGTATCCCCAGGGCTGAGTGCCTAGACCCACTGAATTACAGGTGACTGCAAAGCACTGATGACCTAAAAGAAACAGCATCGCAGTAGCAACAAGCACTCCTAGTGTTCAGATCTTGGTTTCTAATACCATTCTCTAATCAGAGGAACCAGACTCGGAGAAACGGCTGCTTCTAAGATTGGGATCAGGAAATACACATGAGAAGAATCTGCAGTCTTGCAGTGCTAGAAAGTAAGGAAGTCCCCCAGAAAAATCAAACAAGCAAAAAAAAAAAAAAAAAAACCAAACAAAACACATTGATAGGAGTGTGTCAAAAACCAAAGGTGGGCTTCCCTGGTGGTCCAGTGGAAAAGAATCTGGCTGCCAATGCAGGAGACATGGGTTGGATCCCTGGTTTGGGAAGATCCCAAATGCCAAGGAGCAGCTAAGCCTCTAGAGCCACAACTATTAAGCCCTAAGTACTGAAGGCCGCACACCCTAGAGCCTGTGCTCCAGGACAAGAGAAGTCACTGCAATGAGAAGTCTGTGCGCTATAACTAGAGAAAAGCCTGCAATGAAGACCCAACACAGTCAAAAATAAATAAATTAAAAACAAAACAAAGGAGCCAACTGAAAGGGCTCCCAGTGGCCAATGCTGGAGCAATTTGAGCAACAAAATAAAGTAGTATTGGGTTATAATCCAGAGTATAAATACTCACGAAGCTATACTGATCTAATTAAATGACTGGATAAACTAATAAACAGGGGGAGAAGAGGTAAGCCTTTCATGCAGAAGGATTCCAAGTTATTTATGTAGATATCCACCCTTAAGGAGGAGAACACACATGTCCACTCTCTATGTGGGCTGCATATAGTGACTTCCTTCCAAAGGAAAAGGAGAAAAGTGACTTTACAGTGGAGAAACCTGACAAATACTAAGTCAACCAAGTGATGAAGGCCAACATCAACATGCATAAATAAAGTTGATAGTACATATCCTTTTTTAAAAAAAGAATTCTCTTACTTTCTTTTATTTTGGCCTCACTGCTCCGCCTGTGGGATCTTAGTTCCCTGACCAGGGATCAAACCCAGGCCCCCTAAATTGGGGGAACAGTGTCCTAACCACTGGACCACCAAGGAAGTCCCCAATTGTATATATTCTTGACATGGTATGATGAAAATGGCCCTTTATCTCTTTGGTCTTCCTCCCTCAAACCCATCATTCCAGGATTACCACAAGAAATATACCAGACAAATGCCAATAGAGGAGCATCCTACCAAATATTTAACCAGGTCTCTCAGAACAATTAAGATTATCAAAATCAAGGAAAGTCGGAGAACCTGCCAAAGCTAAAAGGAGACTAAAGAGACAGGACAACTAAGAGACTGGATCTTAAAAGTTCTCATCACAAGAGGAAAAAAGAAATCTAAGTGTGGTGATGGATGTTAATCTTTAACTATCTTATTATGGTGATCACTATGTAATATACACATGCATTAAATCATTATGCTGTATACCCCAAAACCAATGCAATATTATATATCAATTATCTCTTTTTAGAGAGAAGATAACAAAGTGTAATGTGGTATCCTAGATGAGATTCTGGAAGACAAAAAGGACATTAGGTAAAAACAAAGGAAATCAAAACATGAACTAGGGTTGACAAGAATATATCAGTCATGGTTCATTAAGTATAACAAATGTATCCTACTAATGAAAGATGTTACAAATATGGGAAACTGGGTGTGGGTAAAAAAGTAACTGTTTTCTGTGCAATATTTCTGTAAATCTAAAATTCTTCTAAAAAGTAAAGTAAAAAAAAAAAGTAAAGTCTATGAATGATAGCAATGATAAAGCATAGATGAATGATCACAATACTTCATTAATCATCATGGTGACAATGACTATAGCTCTCTTCTTACATTGCTATTGTGAGCACTCTGTAGGACCAACATAAAGCATTTAGCATGAGTGATAGCTCAATTCCGGAGAAGGCAATGGCACCCCACTCCGGTACTCTTGCCTGGAAAATCCCACGGATGGAGGAGCCTGGTAGGCTGCAGTCCATGGGGTTGTTAAGAGTCGGACACGACTGAGCGACTTCACTTTCACTTTTCATTTTCATGGATTGGAGAAGGAAATGGCAACCCACTCCAGTGTTCTTGCCTGGAGAATACCAGGGACAGGGGAGCCTGGTGGGCTGCTGTCTATGGGGTCGCACAGAGTCAGACATGACTGAAGTGACTTAGCAGCGGCAGCAGCAGCAGCATAGCTCAATTCAGAGCACTGCACTTGTCACCATTCTACGAAATCTATGCCATCCACTATGGAAGCCATGAGCTCTACATGACAAAATTTAAATTAAGTAAAAATTAAATCAATGGAGTTCTTGTGGCAAGAAAACTGGAGTGGTTTGCCATTCCCTCCTTGTTTTGTCAGAACTTTCCACTATGACCCATCCATCTTGGGTGGCCCTGCACAGCATAGCTCAAAGCTTTATTGAGTTAATGCAAGCCCCTTGACCACAACAAAGCTACAATCCATGAAGCTCCAATACTTTGGCCACCTGATGTGAAGAGCAGATTTCACTGGAAAAGACTCTGATGCTAGAAAAGATTAAAGGCAAAAGGAGAAGGACGTGGCAGAGGACGAGATGGTTAGATAATATCACTGACTCAATGGACATAAGTTTGAGCAAACTCCAGAAGATATTGATGGACAAGGAAGACTGGTGTGCTGCAGTCATGGGGGTTGCAAAGAGTCGGACACAACTTAGCAGCTGAACAACAACAACAAAAATTAAGTTCATTAAATGCTCAGTTCTTTAGTGCTACCAGCTACATGTCAAGGGCCCAGGAGCCACACAGAGCTCGTGGCTATTAAATTTGGCAGTATTGATTTAAAAAAAAATGCCCATGAGCACAGTGTTCTGTCAGACAACATTGCACAAAACAATAAATGGCATGATTGTTTGTTCAGTGTTCTTGACTCCTTCAGGTCGTTCTGCAAATCTTAACCTTCTCAACCTTCCTGACAGTCCTCTTTCAAACTGCAACCCCCACCCCCACCCCACATACCCCATGCCCAATTTACTTTTCAGTCTTACCACTTGCTGTGGAATCCACTTAATTTCTTTCCTGACTACCCATCTAGCACTATGTGGTTCAATGCTGTAGTCGTTGGTAACCACGGCTCTTGAGCCCTTGAAACACAGCCAGTCCAACTTCAGGTGTGCTGTGAGTGTAAAAGACATACAAGATTTCAAAGGCATATAGAGAAAAGAAAAGAAAAAAAAAAAGAATGTAAAAATATATTTTTACATTGGCTACAGGCTGAAACAGCATTTTGGACATAAATTGGGTTAAATAAGATCTGTTATTAAAATTAACATCACCTGTTTCTTTTTTTTTTTTTTAACATGGCTACTAGAAAATTTAAATTATGCATGTGGCTAACATTTGTGGTTGCCTTTAGTTTCTCATTGGTTTCCCTGGTGGCTCAGACGGTAAAGAATCTGCGTGCAATGCAGGAGACCCGGGTTTGATCCCCCGAAGAAAGAAATGGTAAGCCACTGCAGTATTCTTGCTGGAGAATCCCCATGGGCGGAGGAGACTGGAGGGCTACAGTCCATGAGGTCGCAGAGTCAGACACGACTGAGCAACTAATACTACATTTCTCATGGACAGCGTCAGTCTAGAATGTCAGCCAAATAGAGGCAGGTATTTTCACCTATTCGCTGGCGATACAGAGATCGGCACATAGTAGGCGGTCAATTAAATTTTAATGAACGGACGTTAGGCTGAGCCTCTGGGGACCCGTTAGCTCTAATAATCAACACAGATGGAACACTGACCACTTCCCCAGGTCCGCCTCCTCACTACACCAGATAAGGAAACTGAGTCCGGGCGAGGTGACGTAACCCCAACCCAACGGCACGTAGTGCGGAAACGTCGGGGCCGGGATTCGAACCCCAGTTCTGTCACCGCAGCCCAGGCGCACTGACCGTTCCTACCTTGCAAATTGCTGACGGCGGCCGAGGCGGCGGCGGGATAAACAGGCGCGAGACACACACCATGCCCAGGACAAGGGGAGCGGCTCTTCGGCCGCCGCCTCCCGTCGGCCTCCGTGGGCCAGGCCACAGATGGCCCCCTCCGCGGCCATCGCTGGCCACCCGCGTCTCTGCCTGCAGCCGAGCTCTTCTCAGGCGGCGCCAGCCGGAAGTCCCGCCCCCGCCGCGCGCCCCGGGGCGCCGCGACAGCAACGCGAGCCAATGAGAAGCGCGCCGTGGCGAACGCCGGCCAATGGGCGCGCGCGCCGGGGGGGCGTGTCCGGGCCGCGGGCCGGAGCGGGTCGTGCGCGCTGAGGAGGAGCCGCCGCCGCCGTCGCCGTCGCCGCCGCTACCGCCACCGCTACCGAGGCCGAGCGGAGCCGTTAGCGCCGCGCCGCCGCCGCCCGCCTGCCCCAGAGCAGCCCCGGGCCCACCCGCCCGCGTCCAGGTGAGGCGGGGGCCTTCGACGGCGCCCGACGGGGTAGGCCGCGGCAGGCCTGAGCTCGCCTGGCCGGGCCGCGGGCGCTCGCGGGCCTGCACCGGCCGAGGCCCAGGCCGCGCCGGGCCGGGAGGGGACGCTCGCGGGCCTCGGCGAGCGGGCGGGGGCCGGCCGGTGTGGGCGCCGGCGACAGGCCCCGGGCCGGATTCCTGGGCTGCCGCGAGGGCCGAGGTAGGGGGTCACGGCGTGGGCACGCGCCTGGCGGCCGGGCTCCGCGGCCGGGTCCGGGTAGCCTTGCAAGCCGCGTATCCGGGGGCGGGAGAGCGGAGCCAGAGGCAAGGGAGTGGCGTGAGCGCCCTCAGCTCTCGGAGGTCACGGTCCCTGGGCTCGCTCCCCCGGGAAATCCTACACAATCTTTTGTAGCGGCTGTCAGAGGACCGCGGTGGATCTGAGGTCTCTTAGAAGTGTACAAACCTTTCGGGTATGTATGAGAACCCTAGGGGAAGAAAGAAAAATATTTTTTGAATACCGTCTCTAACAAAACAGTTTCTGGAGTGTGGGACGTAAATCTGTAAATTGTGTGTGTGTTGAAAACACAAACTGCACGCAATTGAACAATGGGGGATGGATGCTCTTCCTTTTCCGGCGTCCTCTGCTGCTAGGCATATTAAAAATGGGTTCTGATACCCACTGTGTGCAGGACAGGTGGAGAAGAACTTCTGCAGGTGCCGCCCCTGGAGGAACAGAACCCCCCCTCACAGAGAGTATTCATGGGCGATCTGAATAGCCACGGCTCCAAAAGTGGGACGTTGGGGAGGCGGATTCTCTCGAAAAGCGTTTCCCAACCTTGGCACTACTGATTTTGGGTCTGATCAGTCTGGGTTTGGGTGGGGGAGGGGCTGTCCCTGGCCTCTACCCACTTAGATGCCAGCAGTATCTTATTCCTCCAGTTGTGAAGATCAAAAATATCTTCAGAGATTCCCGGAAGTATCACACACATACTCACACGTGTGAGAATCACCCCTGGACTAAAAGAATGATCTTCCACTAGAAGTACCCCTAGCCCTATCTCTGATTCCTTAAAATCCAGAGTTCCCAAGACGTTGGACAAACTACTGTGGGAGCCTTAGTTTGCTTATCTGTAGAATGGGATGGATGAGACAATTGCTGTGCAGATTTAAGGATTTGGGAAGCCCTAGCATTCTGCGTGACCTGTCCCTGAGGAGACTGAATATATAATGTTATAAATAGTCCACCATATTTAGTGAGGATTTACTATGTGCTATCCACGGATGGACATTGATCTACAGCCCTTGAGGTGGGTGCTGTCTGTTGTAATTTCCGTTTTAGGAACAAACCCAGGCTTCAGTAGGTTGCTTAGTGAGACCAGTCTCACACAGGAAAGTGGCTAATGGCAGGATTCGAACTCAGGCACTCTGATTCAGAGTTCTTACTTTTAACAGCTGAGTTTTACCACTCTTATAATCCCAGCATCTGGGGGACCTGGAGAGATGTTCCATTCACGTATCACTGAGCATCTTCTGTGTGCAGAGCTTTGTGCTAGGTTCTGTTATAAAATTGTTTGACTTAAAGACCCATGAAGAAAGCAAGATATATGAACATCTCAAAAAGTGAAACTAAATCATATTTATGTTGAAGAGGCAGAGTTTTGGATTGGCTGTGTTGAGTGTGAAGTCGTGGGGCAGCAAGTGGAAAATGAGAGGTTTATGCAAGTACCATCCTCCTAAGGCCCTGCTTTTGTCTCACTCCTGCCTCCCATCTCTATCAAGATCTGATTGATAGCAAGATCTGATTATGTTAATATTCCCAATCAGGAGTCTTTGGGTGGAAAATAAATTAATTTTTAAACCTTTTTAGGTGGCTTAGAAGCTAAAGTCGGGGATCCTTTGCACATTCTAATCCCCGCCCTTCCTTTCTGATTTCACATGCACATAGGCCCCAAACTCCGACCCTCACTGCCCATTGCCCCCACTTTCTGTAATACTGTTCTCCTCCACCTGGAGATCTTTTCCTCATACTGTGTGGCCCAGGTCGAAGCTCACTTACCATATGAAGCCTCCCCAGACTGCTGCTCTTTCTCCACCCTCACCAGTCAACTGTTCCCTCACTCCTGTCCCCATCTCATTCAATGGAATCAGATTCATGCTGAATGGTGAAAGAAGTGTAGTCGCCTCCTTTCGCCTCTAGGTGGCAGTAGCCAAGCGGCAAGGCCGACCTGAGTCGGGGGAAGAGCAGAGGAAACCAGCCTGTGGGAGGGAAGTTAGTTTTGCTTCCCTCCTTTAGCTGACTCTCTGCGCTCGGCTTCTGAGTCCCAGGCCCTGTTCTAGGCTCTGGGGAGGCACTGGTGATTGCAGTGAATGCACAGATTGTTTCAGCCCACTCCGTTGAGCGTGGTAATTATGGCTAAACGCTTGCTGATGTGGAAACACAGAAAAGGGAACTGTTAACCTAGCCCTGATGGGCAAAGGTAATCACTGTCCTGGAGGAGGTGAAACAGGAGGGGAGGGGTTATCCAGGCCTGGACTGTGGGGAAGGGCTTGGTAGGATGCAGGAACCACACCAGCCAAGGCATGGAGGTGGGGATGTCTTGGTTTGTTCAGAGACCCACACGGGGTCTGCTAGTTCAGAGGCAAGAAAGGTGAAGTGAGTGGTGGTAAGAGGACTCTGATAGCTGGTGTGCAGAGGGAAAGGGTGTTGTCCTGCAGGCCAGGCCGAGGGGGGCTGTCTGACAGTTTCATTCCACAAAGCGAAGGGGTCAGGTCTGCACATAGGACAAAGAGCCAGAGGAGAATATTGCTGAAAGCCAGCAAACCACTTCGGAGGTGATGACTTTCCTATAAATCAGAAAGGTCACAGATATGACCCAGGGCTGTGGTGGTCTGGAAATAGGGGGTGGGTGTGAGACCTGGTTAGCGGGTAAAGGACACAGGGCTCAGTGGGTGTTTAGCTGTGGGATGTGAGAAAACATTGGGCAATGATTCTGCGCCCTGCCTGAGTGCCCAGTAGGTGGATAACGGTCACTCAGAGAAACAGAAAAGACAAGAGAAGGAGCAGTTTAGCGTGTAGGCATAGAAAAAATAGCACATCACTTGAGTAAGATACGTGTTCCTTCTGTGGATATACGACCGGAAGTGGGGAGGTGGCAGAAGGTAGCATCCTGTCTGGATGTATCGATGGGACTCGCTCATCTGCTCACTGCCCTTCCTCACTTGACCCAGGGCCTCATGGGCACTGGCCAAGTCAGTGAGCACAGTTTTATAGACTGAACACCTGAAACCTTACTGTTGGCTCATTGTTGTGGGACACAGGGAGGACTGGGAGAAATTGCCTCCTTGAGGAATTTACAACCTGAACTGGGGAGAAAAGACATAGATGTGTGAGATTAAAGTAATGATAGGAGGAAGCCATGGGTAGTGACAGCCTGGAGAGCTTTGAAAGAAATGCTTTTTCCTTACTTGGGGTTTGTTCTTGATGAAAGAGGTGGTATCCAAACTGGTCATTGTCATCAGAGAGGCGTGGGCAGCTATTTCCAGGTGCCGCCAGCAGTGTGAGTAAGAGAAAAGGTGAATGCGGAGAAGTCCAGAACCCTGAGGGGACCGGTTTGGGCAGGCAGAGGGTCAAGAAGGTGGACTTGGACATGAATCTAGAGAAGTATGCCAGGATCAGGTGATACAGGGTTTCTCAACACAGTCAAGAAGTGAGTTTGGAAAAGCACTTTTCTTTTATTCCTTTTTTTTCCCCCAGATATTTATTTGTTTATTTGGCTGTGTCAGGTCTTACTTGCATCATATGGGATCTTTAGTTGTGGCCTGTGAACTCTTTGTTGTGGCATTTGGGATTTAGTTCCCTGACAGGGATTGAACCTGTGCCTTCTGCATTGGAAGTGTGGAGTCAGCCACTGGGCCACCAGGGAAGCCCTGAGAGTAAGGACAGACAGACCAGTCAAGGGACTTTGATAGGACAGAAATGGCCCAGCACTCACCTGAGGGTCGGGACTGGGACTACTGTTTTGTCTTCTACACCCACTGCCTTGCTCGTGCTGGCATGTGATTGCACTGTATGTGTGCTGGGGGAAAGAAGGGTTAGAAGGGAGCTCAGAGGTGACTGGATCCCGCCACCTGTCAGGAAGATATTTGTGCCAGAGGAAAGACTTACAGGAGAGGAAACAGCGCAGAGCAGCCCAATGGCAAGACCGATGTCACCACGAACAGAAATCAGGAGACAGAGGAACAGGAGTGAACTGGGGGGAGAAGGCCTAACGATGCTTGGTGTGAAATAATCACGTGGCAGGAGACTGGATAGGAGTCAGTCTGCCCAGAAGGTGACAGGGACCTGAACAGGGACAGTGGTAGAGAGATGGGGGGAGAGTGAGGCATCTCAGATGCAAAACCAGCAGAAACTGGTGCTCGCTTAGGTTTGGGGGATGGGAGAGGTGGTCTGAAGGACAAGTGTGTGTGGGTGCCACCAGATGAAGTGATTCAGGAGGAGGGGAAGGTTTGAAGAGGGGGGCAAGAACAGAAGGAGGTGTGAGGACGCTTGCACTGCAGGTGGGGAGGGCGGGAAGATG